TGTAGAGAGAGATGACAGATCATTCAATGCCAGCCACCATGGACAACCAGATTTGAAGAGCCAGCCAAGGCGATGCTTGAATGCGATGCTAGTGGCCATGGAAGACGGCCGGATTTGGAGGTGAGCTTGAGACCTACAACTTCCCTTCAAGCATGAAGAAGATGAATAGTGAAAAAATAGGAAAAGAAAAAGAAACAAAAAAAGAAATGTCTCTAACAAAAATGCCTCTGCTCATGCTATTGGAATAAGCATGTGCTCACCGACCAGTGAGTTGAGACCCTTGTTTGAAACCAAATGGCCGCTTCATATCATTATTTGAAATTAAATAGTCTCTTCAATCATTTATTTGAGATAGGGTTCACTCTAGATCCTCTTTTGAGAAAACGCGTCTACATCGGATCCTTATTTGGAATTTCTAATTTATCTATGGTCTCGTCCGGTTTTTAATTTTTTTCGTCAACACCCATTTAGAACCTATAGTTCTGGTGTTAGGAGGCAGATTAGCTAATGATCCTGTATTATTTTGCGGCAAAAGGATACTATAAGTGCCATAACTTGTGTACGGAGATCACTTTGGTACCATAACTTTTTTTCGAATCACTTTGGTGCCAAGCCGGAGGAAAAACGATCACTTAAGTGTCATAAGTTTTTTTTGGATCATTTAAGTGCTAAAATTTTTGAAAAACGATCACTTAAGTGCCAATCTCCGGCGAGCCTCCGACGAGCCACGTCAGCTTCAGAAATTAATATAAAAAAAATGCCACGTCGGATTTCCGGCGAAAAATTGTGTACGGCACCGGAGTTGGCACTTAAGTGATCGTTTTTCAAAAATTTTAGCACTTAAGTGATCATTTTTAAAAAATTTTAGCACTAAAGTGATCCAAAAAAAACTTATGGCACCAAAGTGAGCGCCGTACACAAGTTATGGCACTTGTAGTGTTCTTTTGCCATTATTTTGCTTAATAGACTTTACCTCAACGTCCATTGCCATTTTCCACATGTGCATCCGGTCTAGACTTAGCATCATTATAACTCTTTGGATCATCTACCAAATCAATAACATAAGTGAAGGAGTCGGCACCAAAGACTTTTCTTATTCTTTTTATTGTTAAATGCTAAACATACTTCGCCAACTAAATTTGCTTAATAACTTGATGTGGCAAATTCCTCTTAAGTGAAGCCCGCTTAAATAACTTTTGAATTCCAACGTTAGAAAACTGTCAAACTAACTAATAGACACGAGCTAAAAAACATGATAACTACTAGATAATTCAAAAATCTCGGTCTAATACATTAAACGAACCAATAAATTTTTTAAGAATATGAAATTATTTACATTCGATGAAATTGTGTGTCTAATCGACACACAAATATATTCCTTAAGCACCAAATATGGAGAAAATTACCAAAATAGTTCTAAATCTATTGTATGACGGCCGATTTAGTACTTAATTTTTCAATTGTGTCAATTTATTCAAAAAAAATTTGACGATTTGCCAACGTAGTTATTTCAGTCAATTTTGACTGAAAATCACTGACATGATGGTCCGGTCAACGCCATCCGTTCTATGTGACGTAAACGGCGCTGATGTGAATAATTTTTTAAAAATTTTACGAATCTTTTTTTTACCTTTTGGCCATTGGCTAGTCTCAACCGATGGCAATGATGATGACTATTTAGGCGCTCGCCGTGGTCAAATCAATATGGCAATCGCTTTGGAGATAACAATTGCCTTCGTTCCTTTCTCCATAGGGTTCTTTCTCTCCCCTTGGATACAAGAAATATTATCTGAGCCAATGTGATAATTTTTATTTAGGTCCATATTCACGTTAAGTCTGCATTTATCGTGGTGTGATAACTAAGGACTTGATACAATTATTTCTATTTTCTAATCTAATAAAGCCTTCATCTTTGTGTTTAAAAAATCAACAAAAGCGAACAAGAAATTTCCTGCCCATCCCTTCTGACATTCGCCTTGCAATTCCTTCCAATCACATGGGCCCAACCACTGACTCAACCTCCAAGGCCTAATCCCAAAAAAATAAAAGTTGGACAAAGTTAGGCCCATTAGGGCCCATGGGAGTGACCAGGCCTAGGCAAAAAAAAGCGACATAGCGAGTCACCTAATGGGCCATGCTTGGGCATAGGCCCAATCACCGAATGGGGATGATCGGTTCCACGGTGAGACGGATCCCATCTTGGAACCGAAAACTAGACCAGAAGGATTTGTTTCTAATTTGTGGAATCAGGAACTGGCCACTTGGTCTTGGACCCATTCAAGAACCGGATTGATCAGTTCGGTTTGATTCCCGAGTGGATCCAAGAATAGGTTATATAAGTTTTTACTAATAAACAGACCCAAGAGAAGTAATACAGAGAAACATCAAACTCAAATGACCATTCATTGTCAATTGATCAGCACAAATTAAGGTTTTCGTGTCCTAGAAAAGTTCAAAACATTCAACCATAAACAGTTGCAGATCTGAAACTCCGGCAAGTTCTGGCAAAGTAGCCAAAGAAGGAAAAACAAAACCCGAAACCTAATCCACAGCTAGGACCCAATGAGCTCGATACAACCAACCAAAGCGGAGAACGAACAAAAGAAAACTCAGAGACAGCGGAAAACAAAACCCATAAAGGCCAAAAACTTTAAGGAGCGAGAATCGAAATGGTACATGAAAAATCGTCGCTTTTCTTCAAATGTTCAGTGAAAGAGAGTCTGAGAGTGAGCATGACTGATAGAGAGCGTCGAGTGTCCTAAGCGAAGCTGCGAGAGGCATGACTGAGAGTGTGAGAGTGAGCCTCGTGAGCAAGAGAGAGAGATGCATGAGTGAAGAAATGGGCAATAAGGGTTTTCACTTTTCAGTAAGAGTGAATTGTGTGAAGAATAAGCAATTAGTAATTAGGATCTTTGATTTTGTAATAATAAGAATTATATACATGTGTGGCCCGGATGAGTGGATCCACACTTGAAACCGAGAACCGGACCGATATTCACCGATGCCAATTTTTAGGAATCGGGAACCGCCCAGAATCGGCTGGTTTAGTCTAGCTTGGGTGGTTCCTGATTTGGTCCGGTTCTTATGCTCACCCCTACCACTTGACTTGACCCCCAAGGCCAAATCCAAAAAGAAAATAAATAGTTGGACCTAGGTCGGCCCATTAGGGCCCATGGGCCCGACAGGGCCTAGGCCCAAAATACGACGCGGCCCGCCACCTCATCCATGGCCCACTACCGATCCCTATCCACAAGAAAAAGAAGTTGCACCCACGTTATCCATAAAGTAAATCCCATTCATCCAAGACAGAATTTACACTTCTTGGTTTGCATTTCATTGACCCAACACTGATAAGCAAAAACAGAGAGGACGATGACATATTGAAGCAGATTTTCCATGAATTTGAGATCTCAAAAATCTACAACATGTACAAGCACTGTAGACCCCGATAGCCGAACTTGTCGATCAAAATCAAAATGAATCCTTTTAGAGACGAAAACTTCAACTGCACGCTACTACGGCTTCCCTCAGCAACTTTGCCAGCAGCAACCGATCCAGAGACGCCGACAGCCTCGCTGGGAACTCCTCGTCCGACTCCTAGCTCCGGTCGTCCTCGAAGTTGAGCATGTGGCTCATCGGGTCGTACCCGAACTCCGAGGCCACCGCCGCGACCTAGCCCTACCTCCTCTGGTGACTCCCGATCCGAGCGATGAGGCTTCGGCACTTGTCCCAAATCTCTGGCAGCGGGAGCTCTGGGCCGTGGAGTGGAGCCATGCGCAGGGCAGGCAGTCAAGCCGGCGGCGGCAGCTGCTGTCGTCACAACCCAAGGAGGCGTCCTCATGCTAGGCGGCGGCGATGCCGTCGTGGAGGCAGCAGAAGAGGAGGCGTGGGGAGGACCATCTGAGCTTGTGATTGAACAATATTTTGGGTGTCAGTGAGAGAGAGAGAGAGAGCAAACGTTGGACTCGGAGTCTTGGTCTGGTCTTTCTCCACAACCAAATGATCCCCTAGAAGATCGTCCACCAGACATGCTTGGGATGTTAAGAGAACATCTGCAGCCATCCTGGGATTAGCAGAGAATCAACTCAGAAATATTGTCTTACAGTTTATAGATAGGGACAGTGGGTAGTGATAGGGAAACTAGCGCGACGAAACAATGCCAAAGAGACTTGTTAACAGAAACAGAAAGCAGATGGAAATAACTAATGATAATAGAGAGCTTGGGTGAGAATTATGGATGATCTGAGAAGAATGGGGGATGACGATCATGGAGGAAAGTAGCTGAAAGGAAACATCATTGTGATGTAGGGAAAGCTCTCGACAAAGAGAGAGAAGCTCTCCCAGAGGAGAGATTCATATCTATGCATACCTTTCTGAAGAGAAAAACAGTTGTTGTAATTTCTAGCTTACAGAAGCTCTGTTTGTAAAAGTCTCCTGACTTTATTCGCATAGACGTTGTGGTCATTAATGAAATTTTGTTTTCCATAATGTTTTCTTTTAAGGATTAGAAATTTAGAATCGAGATGATGAAAAAAATCATTTGATAAGTGTAGAACATGGAATTGGATATGATTAGGATATGATTATAAGATTATATTTACTAGCAAATTTGAGCCCATTAGAATCTGTTTCATAATTTGGCACAAGACTACCGCGTGCACCATTTCTGGTATTCAACTGAAAAAAAGAAACTCATACCAAAAACCAAGAAGTAGCAGTCTAGTTCAGTAAACATTCACGAAAAAATTTGACCGGAGATGTGTCGATCCTATTAAGTCCGAGGATCAAAAGGATTATCTCACGCCATTGAAAGAAAGATTTGAACGCATCATTTTGACGTTTTCTTCATCGGTGAACGATTGGTACTAGCTTTCTCTATCCCAATCTCAAACTCACTCAACAACCACTCGGAAAGTTTTTTTTTTTTGGTAAGGTACCACTCGGAAAGTTTTATACTCAGTCGAAGTAACAAAGCTAGTGCCTTCACAGTACATATATGGTAGCACAAAGGAATCCACGACGACCCCGAGATTTGGTGTGAAATACTTCTTTCTGCATTATCCATAGTTTAAGCAGCAAATTCACCCCTGACTGTATCTGCTGAAAACTGCCCTGCATTCCCTGTTTCCTTGACGTCTTTCCTCTGGCTCTTCCCAGTTTCATTTTCAGTTGGGACTAGCTTCAGTCTGAATTCTATCATCCTTCACCCGTTGCATAGCAGAATTTAGTCAAGACGTAGAAGCTGCAGTAATTTCACATTCTGACTGCTGCATCACTGCATTCTCTCTCTTCTTCTGATCAGCAGTCTTGCCCTTCCCTTACTCAACTTTCACCAGTTTGCCCGCCCAACGAGCAATAGGTTTCGCATTGTTCTCTTCCATTTGGTCAAAGGCCAATCCATGTATTTGCAGTCACACCTCCAGTTCGTGAAAACAGAGGTTCTCCCGTCTCCTCTGAGCATCCCATCTCTGCAGGTTTATCCAATTTCCCCTAATCGACCAAGGGCCAGTTCTTAGGACTCTCTCTGCTTGGTGCCAATTGAGAAACCAGAACAAACACATCTTCTCATTTTGAGGGGTTGTGGTAATCTCACCCCTACCAGCCCAGGCTTTCCTTCAAACAGTAGCTACGCAGCTCGACTCAAGCACTTCTACGACAAAATCCTTCCCATCAAAACCGTCTCAGCTTCCTCATCATCAATTTGCTCAAAAACCAAATGATACCCCAGAAGATTGTCTACCAGTGATGCATGCAATGTTAAGGGAACCTCTGCAGGCATCCTGTAACGAGAAAAAAGAAATAGATTTGCAGAGAATAAACTCAGAAATGTCGTCGAACTTGATAGGGGCAGTGTGTAGTGATAGGAAAACTAACGTGAAGAAACAATTCCAAAGAGACATAACTAAAATAGAAAGCAGATGGAAATAACTAATGATGATAGAGCGCGAATATGAGGATATTGGATGATCGAGAAGAATGGGGGTGACCATCATGGAGAAGGATAGCTGAAAGAAAACATCGTTGTGATGTAGGGAAAGCTCTCAACAAAGAGAGAGAACCTCTCACAGAGGGGAGACACAAATCCATGTTTACCATCCTGAAGAGAACTCAATATCCCGTTCTTTTTGGAGCATAAATGCTAGAAAGCTAACATATGAAATTAAGAGAAAAACGGTTCTCGTAATTTCTAGCTTACAGAAGCTCTGTGTAAAATCTCCTGATTTAAATTGCATACACGTACTTATGTGCAATCAATCTTGAGCTTCAGTGGCCAAAAAATCAATCTTGAGCTTCACTCTTTTAATGCCAATAATCTTCTATTATTTTTCCAGTGTTCTACTTCAACGCAGGGTCACACGACATCGTGAACATGTCAAATGGTGATAACAATAACTGCAACACTGCTTCTACGTTCATACACTAATCAACAGACCAGCCACCTTTTCCCTCAACAAAGCCTGCGAGTATTACTTCATCTACACCTTTGCTAACAGTGACCGTTGCTCTCAGGGCCAAAAATTAGCTGTCACCGTCAGTGAAACTTCCACCGCCCCGACCTCCAGTCCAGTTGGATCCCCGTAACTGCCGGCACCAACCATTGGGACCACCACATCTCTGCCACCACCTGGAAGTGATGCTTCATTTCTCTGTGTGACACTACTAGTCCTGTTCATGTCCATAGTCATAAGCTTATTATGTGAGTTCATTATACATGAGGATCATTATTTCTACTAGATATAGGTGGTGTGACATTCCGAAATTTGCCCATTTGGGATTTATGAAATGAGTGGTTTTATGAACGTACTTGTAGCTAGGTCTCGCTCGGAACTGGCCATTCCTGGTATACTAACCGTTAGGGAAGGGCTAATTAGGGATTTAAATTCGTGCGACTAAAGAAATTCAGTCGTGAACTGACTTTCGACCATAGAATCGTCGAGGTGACATTTTGAGCCAATGTAGGCCGATCTTAGGATAGTTATGGGCCGGTTCGTCATTGTCATACGAGTGGATCATAGGTGATTCCGGTTGACCACGAGGTGAGTTGACGAATGATTCAGAACCTATACTGAACGATCGTGTCCGTCGGAACTAGCGATCGATCCTCGCGATTACATTGACAACCGAGGTCGTCACGATCCGAACGAACTTGCACGTGACTTGATTTGGTATCAGTCACGGGTCGAATATGCGAATTTCTCCAAAAGCCGCCCGTTAGTCCGAGACACGCTCAAGTTACGTTATTTAAAATTCAGTTATTAAATTAGAGACCAATTTGGGCATTGAAAATTTACGAAGTCACGACAGGACATTTGGACGACGTTGTTATTAGCATGTTCAGTCTTGGATTTTCCCGGATCCTTCAGAAAAATTAAATTTCGGCGAAGGATGGAAAATGACCGTTTTACCCTTAAGAGTTTATTAAGGACAAGTGTTAAAGGAGAAGGGCATTTTGGTCATTTTGCCCTAACTTCAGAAATGGACAATTTTGCCCTTTGAATTTTGTGAAATTCCCAAATTGCCCTTGGATATTTTTGGAAAAGATTTTATCTCGGCCGTTGATCTCAGGATAAGAACGAATCTCGGCCGTTGATTGAAAAGTAGAGAGAGAGGCAAGATGGTCATTTTGGCCATAAAGGGAATTCAATTATTGGGTGCATTATTTAAACCCATTTTCTCTCTCTCACCTCTCATTTCTCTCCCCTCCCTCACGGCAAACTCTCTCTCTCCCCTCTCCCCCTCACCGATCACCCTCTCTCCCTCTTGGTCACGCCGTCGCCGCGCCACCGTCCGCCCGATCGCCGTCCGCCGTCGACGAACCGCTCGCCGTCGCCGATCGCCACCGAGAGGCCGCCGACCGCCACCCCATTTCACTCTAGCCGAGCTAGCCTAGAGTCCAAGTAAGTCGCAATCTAACCCTTGCCTAGGACATCGGGTATTATCGGACTTGTTTAGACGCGGTTTAGGGTAATTTAGGGGTTGATTAGGGTGTTGATCGTGGTTGTTGGTGGCTGATCATGGTTGTTAGTGGCTGTTGCGTGTTGGATTAGACATTTGGGAATGGGTTTTGTGGGTTGGAGATCCATGGGTGTGAGCTAGAACTTGAATCTTGGTTGTTTAGTTCAAAACTCGGATTCATGACTACTGTACCCGTCCGGTTTGCTATTTTTGTGGAGAATTTTGTGGGCCGAATTTGAGGAAGTTTTCTTCATGAAAGTTTCTCCCAACATCTTGAAGTATAACATATTTTAAATTTGGAATTTTTGGAGGCCATTTGGATTGCACGAAAACCCATTTTCAGACTGTCTTAAAACTGCCCGGGACACTGTTCATCCCGACCTTCTTGTCTTGCCGAATTTTTATAAAATTTTTCAGATCTATTTTCAATAAAATTCCTTCACAAAAGTTGTTGATGACTTTCTTTTCTATGACATATAAAAATTTCAAAGCTTTTCAAGGTGATTTTGGTGTTGAAAGAAATGTATTTTGAGGATAAAACAGTCTGTTAGAGTGAACTGATTTTGGTATGATTTCGAGAGACAAAAATGCTTAGTTACAGATTGAACCAGATTTCGTGTTCTTCATAAGAAATTTCTATCAAGATGTTTTTTTATGATATATCCAAAATTTAGAATTTTTGGAGTTCGTTTATTATTTATTTTAATGGGATTTCGGTCACTGTGTAAACTGCTCGGATTTACCCTGATTCTATGAATGTTCATTTTTATGAGCGGAATGGTGGGGTGTCGAGGTTGAATAGTTGCTGCCCTCATGACTGGAATTGATGCTTGATGTGTGTTTGTATGTGGGCTGAATTGAAATGGTTGAATTGGGTGCATTTAATTAATGTTCGAGTATGTGAACGTGTGAGATTTGAGGCGTGTGATGTGCGTGTGATCACTAAAAAGCCCTGAGGCGTGTTTACGCGGGGAATTGAACGGGCCTGAGGCGTGTTTACGCGGGTCGTGATACGACTGTGGGATCGGACCGAGGCGTGTTATGCTCGGGTCGCGATCATGTAGGCTTGAGGCGTGTTTACGCGCGCTCTGAGGAAAGAAAGTGAGAATGGGATCGGATCGAGGCGTGTTATGCTCGGGTCGCGATCATGTAGGCCTGAGGCGTGTTTACGAGGGCTGAGGAAAGAAAGTGAGAATGGGATCCGGCCTGAGGCGTTTTTACGCGGGTCGCGATCATGTAGGCTTGATGCGTGTTTACGCGGGCTGAGGAAAGTGATTGAGCACGAGATGGTGCGATGTGGCAAGTTAAATGAAAATGATGTGGTGGTGCGTGAACGAGTGTGAATTGTGGAGTTCGGGAATGTGGTGTGTTTGATATGTGCCTTCGAGCATGAGATTGGGTTGGAAAGTGCATGCGATTTGTAAATGTGAATGTAAGACTAACGTGCAGGTTGCGTGTATTGAGAACCAGGTAAGTACGATTGTGTGGACGTTATTTGTGTGTTGCTTGATTCGGTGTCTGGACTTGTCTGGAATACGTGGTAGCCTAGGTATGGTTTAGGTTGTGTACTTATTGAGAAGTGTCTCATGGTTGTATCAACCAAACCATTTCAGAGCACCCGCCCGAGCCATGAACCTTCCGCCGCCGCCGCAGTGTTTTGGGATTGTTATGCACACTAATTATGATGTTGTAGAATACCCGATCGAGATTGAGGCCGATTCGGAGTCATCGGATGAGCATGTGCCTGATGAAGATTCGAATGAGGATTCCGAAGAGAGTGAGTCAGAGTGGACGCCATCTAGAGGGCGTAGGGATTAGTTTTAGAGTTGAGGAAGAGTTTGGAAGTGTCCCATTTTTGGTGTAGTGTTTACCCAGGCTACTAATCTTTTTGTGATATCGGTGGTTTACAGTTTGGTAGTTCAGTGTGCATATTTTGCTTTGTGGTTTGTAAATGACGGTTGTGACATAAGTTTATATTGTAAATGGATATTGTACTTAAATCGAGGTATAGTATTTGATTTGGTGGTTTGGCAATTTATTCTCCCTAGTACCCCTGGTAAATCATTGTCTGGGTGTTTGTTGTTTCTGCCGCGATTAAACTTTGATGGGTTCGTTTGGGTTGGCGACGTTTCCTGGGATGTCGCACTAATTCGACCGAAGAGGGATGTCGCGTGCTCGATGGGGTTCGGGGCGTGACAGGTGGACTATTGATAGATCGTGAGATGTTGCTCCTCGTCATAAAGTGAATAAACTCATTAAAATGCTTTTACAATTCCCGCATGATTCATATAGATAACATTACTCAAACTTGCAATAGTTCATTAGTTTCTCTGAAATACATATATGGTTCTCCTCCCAAATTCTGAAGTCTGGCTCTATTCGCAGCTCCAATATCATGAAGACCAAGACTATTAGAAAAATTAGAACGCAGCAGGAGACAAAAACTTGCATACTAGAAAGTCAAAATAGAGCATCACTAGAACAAATCCTCATTGGTGTAGCAGAAAAATCCCACCATTGGAATGACGGAGCAAAAGAGTAATCACGTGGTGACAGGAAAAATGGTGTGAATGTTGTTAGGATCAAATTCAACACAAATGGTTGATCAAGAACTTAAAATGACAATGAAACTATGAACTCACTCTTGCAGCCTTGCAGCATATAAAATTCACACCTGATGATTAACTTGAAAGAACCCGACGAATTTTGGGGATCCAGAGCGCCACAAGTCCAGCAGCATGATCACTCTCCTTTGCCTATGTGTTTTTGCACTTTGCCTCCAGAAGCTTCCTTAATGATCCACATGTCAATCATTAAATTACTCCGAGCTATCACATGAGAACAAACAAGAGAAAATTATAGTTGCAATATCAAAGAACAATACAAAACCAATTCAAGCAATCGGGATAAGCAAGCAAATTCACGTCATATGAGAAAACCAATTCAAGCAATCAGGATAACCAATTCAACTATCACCAGAATGTGATCTCATGAATACCCGACGTAAAAACTGCTCATATTCTATATGAGGAAAGCTCAAGACAATTCAGATATTGGTTGTAGCGACTTGCATCTGGAAATGTCGTAAGCTTGTGGAAGCTCCAAGTCTCCAAGCCCTCGAGGTCGCAGTCTTTGTGTGACAATTGACGAGCATCATCAAATCTCTATACTTTATAGGTAGCTCAATCCTTTGAGCCCTGGGATGTCTGATAGCTCCGAACAAGCTGTCACTATCAAATTCCTTAAATCATCAAATTTCAACACATCTGGGAAGTTTGGTAACAACTTGCAACCTTGAATACACAAACTTTTGCAGGATGAGAATATCTCTAGGTTTTGAATGTAATCACAGTGGTTGATTTTCAACCTGTTCAGGGTTTTCAATCACGATAGATCCGATAATCTCCCAAGGGAATTGCAACCACAGATATCCAATATTACCAAAAAATCCAGCCAGTCAAGGTCGCGTTTCAATTAGACTTTTGCAGCTTGCAATATCAAAGCCCTCAAATTCTTTAAACTAGAAAGGTTTGGTTATCTTTTGATGGATGTGCAATTAGAGATATCCAATATCACTAAAAATCAACCTCTCAAGGCCATGAATTTCAACTAGATTCCGGCAGTCTGCAGCATAGAATCCCTTTAGACATTTTTAACTTGGAAGGTCTGTTTATCTTTTAATGGATTGAAAGGTCTGGTTATCTTTTAATAGACATGCATCTAAAGACATTAAAACTACCCAAAGATTCTAATTAATCAATCAAGGCCTCGAACTTCAACTAGATTCTTCCAATTTGCAGCGTGAAATTCGAAGTCTTTAAACTGGAAAAGTCTAGTAATCTTTTAACAGAAGAGCACCCAGAGATATTCAATCTTGCCAGTAAATCCAACCTGTAAAGACCATGAATTTCAACTAGATTTCGGCAATTTGCAACATGGAATCTTTCAATGGATGCGCATCCAGAGATACAGAACGTTTCCAGATATTCTATATGGGTCAAAGCCTCAAACTTCAACTAAATTGTCGCCGTTGGCAGCATCTGATTCTTTTAGATTCTTTAAACTTGAAAGGCCAAGTGATTGAATGGACATGCAAACAGAGATATCCAAACTTACTAGACTCTTGCAGTTTGCAACGCATGATAGCCTTAGATGTTTCGAACTCGAAAGGTCCCCTGAATCTCAACTAGATTCTCACAACTCGCAGCGTTTGTTTTGAAGTTGTAAAGCAGCATCTTCTGCATTCATTTTCTGCACAAGTGCGTCTAAAGAGCCAAACTGATTGTCAATGGCCCAACCGATGGAACCTTTTGTTGGCTCACCACCTCCTCCCTGCATTACCCAACATATGAGGTCAGAGAGACATAGAGTGACTGCATGGATCAAAATTTGTCAAACATGCATTACCTGAATTGGAGCAAGATTATTCCAGAACATGGACTGATTAACATGACCTGAACATAGGTTACATCCACAAAATCATAAGAGGAGCAAAATCAAAAGGATAATAACGAGCTAAGCGGCAAAAGCTAATCTTTAATAGTTGAATATGCACACAGAGAAAATAAAAAGAAAATTTAAGACTGTTGGATAATTTATAAAACAAGAAGAGGTAATAGAAGGGCTCGCGCAGCCATCAGTGCTCTTAAAAAAAACACAAAATTTCTGCAAATTGTTTTCAAACAATAGACCTGAATGAAGCATGTTTCAAAGGTGATGAAGTTCTGTAAGAAAGTTCAATCACAGTCATGGTTCAACATGCCTTAGCAAAACTGCGTGAACTACCACCAAAATGCCTATGAAGCTTACTTAAAAATGAATTGATAATAGCTGATACGACATTTCACACTTGTTCATCACATGCTGTCAATTATTCATATGAAACAAAACGAAACTCAGAAACCCTAATTTCACCTCTTTTCCCCTTTCATTTAGTTGGTAGCAACTGCAATACGAATGTGATAACAAATAAAACCTACCGATACAGTGACTAATCTAAGCAACTGTCTTCAGGATAGAAAGACAACCCTCAACAAAATTTTCCTCCTAGTCAGTAAGCACGACACGATCTGAATGTGGTCACATTTGAATGCCACCCATCCTCGCTAGTGCCATATAGATCCAAAACTTGTCACTCTGTACATTCTATAGTACTATGGTTCATCAGGAGCACCAGCGCACCATTCACATCAATATGGAAAAAGCTAGTGACAACCAATCACACATTGGTGAGCTATGGCAGACAAATACTAAAAAACCAGGAACTTTGGCTCTGGAGGGGAGCTAACCCATCAAGGATTTGACATGAGACGCAACTGCAGATAATAGATGTATCTTACCTAGTGCTGGCAAAGCCAGATCAGTTACATTATATACACTACGTGTTTCCTCGTGAAGGATAGCTCATCTTTGAAATGTGCCGCTTCTTATATTCAATTGTCCATGAGTTAAATTCTCGACCACCTTTCACTCTCGATTTCATTGAATCTCAAGAAGCTTTCATCACAAATAACGCCTTCCGACAGTCCATTAACCTTAAATGGAACAAAGTGGAGAGCATTTTTCCTTGTTTCACTGACAAATAAGACTATAAGCTAAATCGTGTTCAGCTACCGTGACCGAAAACCTTAACAGCTCTGCCTAGTCCTCATCATTGCTAAATCGTGTTCAGCGTGCGGAGAGCCATGGGAGCTTCCCTTCTGCTGTGGAGCTGATCTTCAAGCTCAGTCAGATACACACTTGGGCTCGTCACCTCCTGAGAATTTGGGCTCGTTACCTCTGGCCAATCTGGGAATATGCCTATTCAATGTCGTAGAGTGTGCAAGACCAAACCCACGCAGAATGCGAGCATCTGGTGGCTTTTCTTAGCCTAAAGGACTTGTCGCGGATCAATTGGCATAAGCGCGCCTCGCTGGACAAATTAACCTCCCCAAACAAAGTAACCTCCCCATCAACAGATGGAAGAGAAACCTTGGATAGTCGGACGGGAAGCTCGGGGAGACATTCAAGTGGACGGCAATCGAAAAGAGTGAGTTCCTCGAGAAGGGTTAGTTTGGAAAGAAATGGCAACGATGGACTTGGGAAAGTGATGTGCAGAGCTGTTAAGCTGGAGGGCGGTTCAGGTATTCCTCGAAGGTTTTCGCAAAATTTAACGCTGAGATGTTGGAGAGAAGAGAGCTTAGAAATGCTTTCTGGCAAGCCTAAAATGCCCGATCCGCCTAAATAAAGCTCGTTTAGCGAAACCAGTTCGCCTATATTATTAGGCAGTCCTTGTAGATTACAGCAGCATGATGCGCTCAATACTTGAAGTTTCGCCAGCATTCCAATAGCACTAGGTAATTCCGTCACGGGAATCCCCCTAATGTCCAAGATCCTCAAATTTTGTAGATTCCCAATGCTTTCAGGTAATTTTGTAATCGATGTCCACGCTAATCGCAGCTCATTCAACGATGCCAACTTTCCAATCGAGTCGGGGATCTCTGTCAACGATTGGCATGCTACTAAGTCAAGACGAGACATAGATGCTAGATTGCCTATGGAGCTAGATATGCGAGTTAATGATTCGCAGCCAGAGGCATCAAGAGTCTCCAACGCCTCCATAGAACCAATGGATTCAGGTAATTATTCAATCCCTGTATCACGTAAGTTCAGCTGAATTAACGACACAAGGGAGCCCATGGATTCTGGAAGTTGAGCAAATTTATCACAACTTAGGGCACCTAGAGTCTTTGGCTTCATTAGACAACCTCTTGAAATAGGATTCTCTTTTATAGCGGTGTCATTTATGAGAAGCTCCCTCGATTCTTCCATTCTCCCTACTATTGCTGGTAGCTCCTTCAGTCTCTCACAACGCTTGACATTCAAGGAGACGAGAGTCTTGATATACCAGATAGAATGATGAATTGCTTCCAAATCTATACATCCTTCAAGAATCAAAATCTCCAAGCTTTTAAAAGCAGACAAGTCGGGAGTTCTTCTCAAATGTTTACAATACGAGAGGTTGAGAACTTTCAGCTCGGTTGCCATCTGAAAGAAACAAAGGAAAACCTCAGTGAAATTGGACAGCTGCAATGTGTGTTTTTCCACTATTCTTTGTTTTTTTTATAAGAATCTATAAGATTCCTGAAAAATACCTATGCTCGACTACTCTTTCACAGTTGTTTTATTTGATTTTAAATGTTCTTTAATAGTATTAGGCTACACCACCGTATTGATTTTTTTAAACATATCCATTGCAAAAAGAATGTTAGGGACGTACAAGTGCTAACCATGTTTATTTTCGGACAAATTTTCAAAAAGAAAATATATTCAGTTTTTAAGAGCTATGGCAATGCCGTTGATTAGACACAAGCAAATTTTATTATCAAAAAGCAGATGACACTTCAATAACGGGTAGTTTAATTATGAAAAGCAATTTTTTAACGTTATATGTACAAGATATAAAGAACGTTGTATTCCAAAAAAAATTAATGCCACTGGAAGGATAACTTTATTACTCTCATAACATTAATAATTTATATTTGTGTTATACAATGACGACTTCCATAATCAACAATTATAATGATTAAATATTTCATGCAACAAGCCAAAGCAATTCATAAATTATATCCATTACTCTAAGATTAAAATGAATTTAGAATTTTAGTATGAATGTACAACACAAGTGACTGCGTTGGAGTTTCTGTTTCTCCAAGAAAGAAGATTGATATAGAGATACAACAAGAATCGCTCAAAAGACATGCTTTTGCACGGGTAGAAATTATCTTGGAAGCCATAAACCAGCTAGATTAACGAAATACAAAATAGGCACAATTAAGTAATTAAAATTTTTAATAGATGTTAATTAATATAGTTAATTTTTTCTTTCTAGTATTGTCTGAGGTTAAGCATGACGGGTTGTTGAGTTTTATCAATTAAACATATTAAGGGGGAGAAGATTCTGAGTATTTAGATAACTATAAATTCCTCTTATATTTACCCAAAAATCCTAAATCCGAGGAACAATATTAAACCTTTCTAAAAGAAAGAAAGGAGAACTAGGTGCGGTTGCACCTTCGGTAACACGTTATTATTCACAACAGATATATCTTCTCAATTTCTTACCTTGAGTGGATCCCATCCTTCCCAGTCCTCTGTAATTTCACTACCTGATAGATCGAGCACGACTAATTTTTTCGGATAAAAGTTGATGTGACATCCTGAAAAATAGTCCATTTGGGATTTGTAAAATACTAAGTTTTATGAATGTACTCGTAGTTAGTTCTCGCCCGGAACTGATCATTCCTGGGATGCTAACCATTAGGGAAAGGCTAATCGAGGAATTAAATTCGTACGACTAAAGAAAATTCGATCGTGGATTGACTTTCGACCATTAAATCGTCGAGGTGATATTTTGAGCCACTGTTGGCAGATCTAAGGATAGTCAGGGGTCAGTTTGCCACTGTCATAGTAGTGGATCGCGGGTGATACCGCTGGACCACGAAATGGATTGACGAACGATCCTGAACCTATACTGAACGATCGTGCCCCACGGATCTAGTAATTGATCCTCGCGATTTTATTGACAACCGAAGTCGTGACGGTCTGAATAAATTGCACGTGACTCGATTTAGTGTCAGTCACGGGTCGAATAAGCGAATTTCCCCAACAAGCCTCCCGTTAGTTTGAGAAACGCTCGAGTTACGTTTAATAGAATTGAATTATTTAATTCAGCCCAAATCGGACACCAGAAAATTTGGAAGTACAACGGGAAGTTAGGACAACGTTGCGGTTGTAACGTGCAATTTTTGTTGCGCCCGAATCCTTCAGAAAAACTTGATTTCGATGAGAAACGGAGAAAGTGACCAAAATGTCCCTAAGAGTTAATAAAGGATTAGTTTTGTTGGACAAGGGCATTTTGGTCATCTTAGGCCCAAAGTTGGAAAAGGCATAATTACCCTTGGATATTTTTAAGTTAGATTCAATCCTAACCGTTGATTTTTAGATTGGATCGAATATCGGCCGTCGGATTGAAAAGATTAGAGAGGGGTATTTTGGTAAATTACCAAAAAATGGTCAAAATTGGATAATTAGCCCTTGACCGCCTTTCTCTCTCTCCTCTCTCTCTTCTTTCTGCCCTCTCCATCGTGAATTCCCCCCCCCCCCTTTTGGCCGTGAAGCCCCCCTCCACCGTATACTCTCTCTCTCTCTCTTTCTCTCTCTCTCTCTCTCTCTCTCTCTCTCTCTCTCTCTCTCTCTCTCTCTCTCTCTCTCTCTTTGCCGATCACCGCCGTGCCGCGCTGCGCCACCGCCCCGCCGCCTCGCACCCCTCACGCCGCCCCCATCGCGCCGTTCTCTCTCTCTCTTCCTTTTCGGTCCTCCCTTTGGCCGTGAGCCCCACCGGCCACCGCCCAAGCCGCGCCGTTGCCACCCAAGCCGATCGCCGCCACCCGGGAGCCGTATGTCATCGCCGCCGTTCCCGATTAAGTGCCGTCGCTTTCCGTTCTAGCCGCGATAGTCTAGAACGCGGGTAAGTCGCGCTCTAAACCCAACTTAGGACTTCGGGTATCGATGGGCGATTTTTGGGCGAAATTTGGTAAAAGTTAGGTGCGGAATTGCATGAATAGGGAGTGGAAATTTTATGGCGGGCCTTAGGATTTAATTCGGGCAATATTTATTGGAAATTCGAAAATAACAGTGGCTGTGGTCTACTGTTCATGGGGCCGTGATGGGCCGATCGGGACGCAAGTTGGATTTTTTGAACCGAGAATTTATGGTGAGAAAGTCCCGTGAAGGACCGGAATCGATTTGGTGTCGTTTGGTGGGAGAAAAATAATGATTTCTGTGTTTTACGTGCGTTTGAAAATAATTAGACTATGGTGGTGAAATTAAATGTGTGATTATGCAATTGGTTGAGTTAATTATGTTTGTTGGGTGCACGCGTGGGCCAGATTATTTTAATTACTATTATTGGCCGTGTTGATTGCTGGGTGAGCATGGTTTGTGTGTAATTGATGCGTGCACGGGTCATGTGTGATTGGCCAGTTGTGTATGGTAAATGCTTGTTGAGCATGTGCCTGAGTGAGAAGGAAATGTGGCGTGATAAGTATTCGTGGAAATTGTGCCGTCCTGAGGCGTGTACGTTTACGTGGGACGATGCCCAGTTTTACCGGAAGACTGCCGGCCTGAGGCGTGTACTTCAACGCGGGTTGTGCAGTAGGTGGTAGGTGTTGAGCCTGAGGTGTGTACGTTTACGCGGGCAAGAAACATGGCCTGAGGCGTGTACGTTTACGCGGGCCTGGAAGTATTGTGGAAAGAGGTCGCAGTGTACCTGAGGCGTGTACGTGTACGCGGGTCACTAGCGAGGAATGTGAATGGGATGTGATGAGAACGAGGTCACAGTGTACCTGAGGCGTGTGCGTGTACGCGGGTCACTGGCGAGGAATGTGAATGGGATATGATGAGAACGAGGTCCCAGTGTACCTGAGGTGTGTATGTGTACGCGGGTCACTGGCGAGGAATGTGAATGGGATATGATGAGAACGAGGTCGCAGTGTACCTGAGGCGTGTACGTGTACGCAGGTCATTGGTGAGGAATGTGAATGAGACATAATGAGAACGGAATGAGTGCATGACATGAAAATTTGTGCATGCTTGCGATTGTGTTGATGTGCCCGCTATGTGATTATGTGGTGTAAGTGTGTGATTGTGTTTTGTGAAATTGTCTGGAGGTACGTGATAGCCTAGGTGGGGTTTAGGGGTGAACTTGCTGAGAAGTGTTCTCATGGTTGTTTCAACCAACAATTTCAGAATCCCGACCGGATCCATGAATCCTCCGCCGCCACCACCAATGCATTTTGGGGTACCAGTGCACATCGAGATTGAGGCAGAATCAGAATCTTCAGATGAACAAACCGATCAGGAGAGTTCAGATTCAGAGGAAGAGGAGTCAGACTCGGAATGGACGCCTAGCAAGGGGCGTGGGGGCTAGTGTAGGGGTTAAGAATAGGTGTTTTGGATGAGTACCATTTTTGGAGTTAAAATACCAAGTCATTGATCTCTTTTTGTATATGGTAGTTTTTAAGGCAGTGCACAAGTGCTTATGGTGGTTGTAATCTGTAAATATTTTATAAGTGGGTAATGAAAAGAAATGTGTGTATTCTCCCTGAATATTCTCCCCAGTTTAATTGTCCGAGTGATTTGTGGTTTCCGCTGACGATTTAAATCTCTGATGGTAAACTGAGGTCGGCGATACCCTGGGACATCGCACTGAATCGACCCGGTAAGGGTGTTGCGTGCCCGATGGGGTTCGGGGCATGACATCCCCGTTTGAATTGGTATCAGAGCGAGGATAGCTCGATCTAGACTGGTCAGAGTTTGGAGTGATAAGGAGCAGAGAATTTGGGGTAGAAATTAGGGGGACTTTAGTGAGCCATAGAGCGGAGTGAGCTACACGTGCCTCCAAATTGTTTGTTGTGATTGATTGAGTGAGAAAATTGTTGTGGTAATTGAATGCAGGTGCGTCTGGATCTGAGGTAAGTGTTCATACTCTTGTGATTGTGGTCTTGTGATTGGTAGCGAGGAATTGTTTGTTTAGTGAATTCTTGTGTTAATTCACTGCC